TGGACATGCATTCTAATCAATTTGCAATAGGAATCCAGGAGTGACAGCCCTCTGTATACCCACTTATTATTTTAACATAAAAATAAAATATTTAAAAAAAATGTTATTGCTTCCATTATATATACACTATATGATCACTATATATCATATATGCCTTAAATTCAAATTTTATTTGTCACACACACACACACACACACAACCATATGACATGGGGGTGAAATGCTTGTAGCTGTACAATGCCCGACCATTAAATGACAGAAGAAAAGTTTTACAATATTTACAATTTACAGTTTACCACAAAAATTTACAAATTAACTTAGGAATTTACAGTAAAGAATGTGCAAATAGCAGAAGAGATTATAAAGATAAGGATTATAAATAGCCTTATGAAAAGGCTTGATAAAGAGGAAAAGATCATTGCACCTGTATATGTAAAATTTATGTAGAAACATGTACCTGTACATGATGTCATGTCTCTTGTTGCTCTTTGAGTGAGGAATAATAAAAGCCTGGCTCTGCGTGGGCTTTTTAACCGAGCGCGACTAAAATTACTGAACCAGAACAACCCTAACCCAGACAATATTTGCCAGTGTAATTTAGTCTGGACCAAAGTAGGGATGAGTTGAATTATTTGGCTACCACAGAGCACTTGGATTGAAACAGTAGAGCAGAAGACTTATTCAGTAACTTTAATTGCGAAAGGACAAACCAGAAAAATTAAATCACTTGAGGATACGGGCTCTGAAAGCAGATGGTCCTAATGTAATTTTGAAAAAATTCCTCCAGAGTACTTTCTGTGCTATCAGCTCCTGCTGTGCCGTTTCATGAATATGCAGCTGGCTGGAGAACAGGCTGGAACAGCAGGACCACCCCGACCCCCCATGTCACCGCAGACGGACGGGGATCTGACAGCAGCCAGGAGGAGCGAGCGATTTCAGCTGGCAACTGCACGCCGCAGCATACGAAGATCAGGTCACACACTGTTCCTGTGTGGATGAGTCTGCTTTTAATTGGATAATGTCCCATCCACAAGTGACCATGTGTGAAAATTAGTTTCCAAAGAGCGCCGCAACAATTTCGTCAGTGCTCCGACAGAGTTCTGGGAAGCTAATTTTTATGACTTTTGTGGCCTCAAGTCAAGCCTAGACAAGGGAGGGATGAGATGGGGGTAAGTCTCCAGTACATGAATAACAACAGCTGCCTCGAGGCCCACACAATAGTCTCAGGCTCTGTTTGTGATTAAACAGCTACAACTAGCTACACTCATAGCAGTCAGCTCACATCTGTATGTGTGATGTTCCTGGATTTTACTCCCAGGAAAACAAAGGGAGAAGTCCCTCACTGTGCTGTAACATACAACACCACATTCGAGACTATGATATACTTCTTCCTCTTCAGTCAATGCGTCTAAAAGCCCAAAGGCGAAATCATAGTGGCGACTGTAGTAAAGACATCTCACGCTGACACATAAGCCCATCTTACAAAGTCAGCTTTTCTAAAACAGATGTGAATTTCAAAGACCGGATACGAAGACGTCACAAAGGGTTAAGTTTCTGCAGCATGAAAGGCAACTCGTGTTCTGAAAAACTATTTCTGTCCAGGATGTTACAGTAAAGCCACTCTGCATCTATGCAATTATGCTAAATTTGGATTAGCACTGCATTTCCAAGCACTGTAATTTTATGCTAACTCTGACTTGGCACTATGTTCCTTTGTTATGCGGCTGTTCTCCTTCAGCTTCACGTCGCCTAAAAACACTCTGACCTTTACCCCAGATAGGGGAGGTGAAGCAGCTCTAACTAACTGCATATCTGAAACCAATTTAGATTCACTTAGAGCAGACAGGCAGGTTTAATGGTCGGCGCGTGAGCTGCATTCCAGGTGTGTTTGGAATACGTGGAGCCAATCCCCCCCCCCCAAAAAAAAAAACAGAGGCAGCATCTAGGAATGTGTGCACTTATGCCATGTGTCTCATCAAAGCACTGGTTGTAAACCTATTCAATCAAAATTAACTCACAAAGGCAAATTAATACACAATAGCAATTTACAGTAATCATAAATAAAAGCATCTTTAATTTTGGGGGGTTTGCACTGTCGATCGGACTGGAAAATCATCCACTGCCGATTTTTGTAGCTGGTGAGGAAACAATTGCTTTTGTGCATTTATCCTGGCTAGAAAGCTCTCGTTTGGACCTGTAACGAATCAAGCGCTCCCCTTTCTTTTATACAGCGAAGCACACAACCTTGTGAAAAAGCCAGTTTAAATGGATGGTGACTGATCAAGATTGCTACCTTCTTTTTCAAGCGACTAGGGTATGATGCTGTTTTAAGACCTGCTTACTTAACAAGGACATAAAAAAATTTAACTTGCAGTGCCACTTTTTGATGGGACAGCTCTAGTGTGCTGCTCTTCCACACCAACACTGAATTTCCCACGAAGTAGAAGCACAGGTATGGCCAATAACACCGCCGATGGCTTCGTTAAGTCATTATATCACCGAGCAGCAAACCATCATTACTGTCACTAACACACCCCTGCTTTTCCTGCTAGGACATGTCTCCCGTTTTTATTAGTTATGACGTGCACACAGATGAACCTTTTTTTTTTTTTTTTTAAATCTAGAAGTCACAAATGTAAAAGTCAAGTCAAAGGTTAGTTATGAAGTTCTATGGGATCGCCTGCTAAAATAAATATATACACATTTCCACTGACATGCAGATGAAACATAGTTTTGTTAATCTATGAAGCTGGCACTAAAAACATGTCACAAAGGCCTGGATTATCTGTAATTTTCTATCTCTTAATTTGAATTTGCTCCTCAAAATGTCAGAAATGTGAAGTCCTGTGTCTGGATAGCAGTACCTTAGCCTCTAGTACTATCAAGGACACATTTTTTGTTAGTCCTTTGGACTGGCGCGATAAAGCTTTCTGTAATACATTCAAAACAACAAGCACCATGTTTCAGAGCAATATTGAAAGACAATATTCATATAGCTTCATGATCCTGATCCACAGCTGGCCCAGCTAACAGTGGCACCCCACTCCATGAATCCTGGAAGCTTCTTCCTGTTAAAAGTGAGTTTTTCATCCCCACTGTTGCCAAGTGCTTTCTCAAAGGCAACTGTTTTTTGTACACATGGATGTACCACAGAAAAGGTAAAATAATAATAACAATACATTTGGTTTGGGGAGGTCTAATGTTGCAAGTTTTTTGGTGGAGGCATTTTTAAGCTGTTATGATCAGCAGTAGAAGCTTTTAGATGAACACAGGTTTGTAAGATGATGAGGAAACCCCCTGATCAGTTTAGAGGTGATTATTTCCTATTTACGTTCACGGTGAGGGGGGCTAAGAGTACATTTTGCACCATCTTACACTGCTGTGATTTAAGTACACGTGGCCACTGACCAGTGGTCATGGCGCTTTGCATAATAATGATCATGAAACTGATCTTCTGGCTCTTTGTTTGGCTGCGGTGCTTGTTTCAATTATTATCCAACTTAATTGTTAATGCAGGTGAGGCTGAAGAAGAAACTTGGTTACGAAAACTTTCTGGGATTTTCTACCTGGATGATTAAGAATTCCTCAAGCTTTTAGTGTCCCATTTTTTAGAGTATGACTATCAAATCAAAAGCAATGCGAGTGCGAGATCCTACTGTAAATGCAAACATCACTTAATGTAAATACACTAAACAGCACAGAGCGTTACTTTATTCTTTTACAACTGCATGTTGAGACCATCTTGCAGCACTATCGCATCATTTCCGAAGAACCACACCCTTGATTTTGATTTCAACCACACACCTGTAACGGTTTGTGACTGCATCTTACACAATCACACCTACCGCACTGACACGTTAACCTACTGACAGAAAAGCATATCAGTCACGCTATCATAACCGATACCCCTGACTTTAACAGTGTAACACTACACTGACAGTAACGTCTTTCACAAGTTACTTATGGACATGTCACACACCCAAACTTTCTTGGATCGCCATTAAACGTGAATCCACCTCACAATATGGGCTATACCTACAGTTTTTAGGCCCCTAAAACAGCTGAGCACGTGTGAAAGAGGCCTTTGTATGTGGCAGAGGGAAGCAGATCCCACCGAAGGGACAACCCCACTGCCAGCCAGCTGCGTCTGCTCCCAGCCCTCCTCCCTGTAGCTGAGGAAACACTGCGCTAAACACTCTGCTAATGGAAGTTTTTCTCCTGTTCCTCAATTTAGATCTGAGCTTCATGGGAAAATAAAGACATCGGGATGGAGCACAACGGGGTGAAATGACAATGGGCTGGAGGCCACGCTTTAGTATTGGAATGACAAGGACCAACAAGTCGCACAAAAAAAATCCTTTATAGCTGGGCTAAGAATGTCTCAATAGCCTGCTTTCATGCACTTCACTGATATGTGTATTGGATTACAAGTATGCCACAACCCATTAACACAGCGGGTTATGAATGGGTTTTATTATGAAGGCATGGGCAAACCCATATGCCAACAGAAAAGGACCAGCTGGTCTGCTGCACACTTTAAACTAGAGCCCATACATCAGATACACTTTTGTCTCCACACAAGAGATCTTCACAAACACACAACCCTTTATGGGACTATAGATCATATGAGATAAATTTAGATGGAAATTTAGAAAAACTTATAAATTAATATTTAATCAAACTTCTTTTGTTACTGATAAAAGAAAAAAACCCCTCATATTTAAATACTTGAGTCATTTGCAAATGGATGGAGATGAACTGATAAAAGTGATGAAATATTGTCTTTGCTTGAAAGGTGTCAGGTTGGGACGTCTGTGTAAACTATTCACGGGGCGCTTAATTTCTAATGTTTAATGTTTTAGCTTTAGTTTTATTCTTAGCGTAGCGGCAGGCAGACAGAGCGGGGATGCAGGAGAATGAGCGCTCCGATGGCAGGGTGTGGAAGCAAGTTTAAGCAGAGCAGAGGGGGAAATATTGTGTATTTATGGGATTTATACTCACCTGGCTTCAGACTGCTGTTAAAGTAGAATATGACCATGACGAAACATCCCAGGGACAAGGCAAAAACCATCCGGATCACTCTGGGTTTCCTCATCCTGAGAGTCTCTGGAAGCCACCGAGAAGCCGAGCCCAATCCTGCCAGGGTTCAGGCGAACTACACGGTTTTTGTCGAGTCTACTTCACCGGCCGTGGGAGCATCGATCCGGCTCGCTGCTCGACCTTTGCCGCTCCTTATCTTCCTGGACATCCTCGCATGCCGGGTCAGGAGGAGGCAGCGGTGAGGGAGGACGAGGGGGCCCCGGGCTGCAGACTCCGCTGGTCTGCCGTGTCTCTCTCGGTTACCGACGCGTTTCTGTGTGCCTTTGTAGAGACGACGGAGAAGGCTGCATCACTGCCGCTGTGGTGCCAGCACAGGCCGCCGGACTGCGTGGGTAACGGGCCCTTTATACGCCACGACAGGGTCTTTCCAAATGTCCGCTTAACCCCTTTCTCCCCGCGGACACAGAAAGGGTCCAACCACTCAACGACCCGGTGGTCGAGAATAAGCGACACGTTTCAGAAGAAGGGCGGGTTCCGGGGAGACCTTTCAAAGTAAAACTTCTATACAGACAGTATGAAATCTGCTGTGAGGTTGGGACTGAACCGGTTTACAATTAATTAATGCGAAATTAATAAAAAAAATAAATTAATATCACTGGTGGAAACGCTTCTAGAGGCATTTCAGAATAAGAGTCTTGCACCTTTTATGAATTTCAAACCTTAGATTTTAAAAGCTTGCTGAATTTCAGTCTTTAAAAAATGTGTAAAATTTTCGTACAAATAGAACAAAATTTAATACCAGAAATATTAAAGACATGACTGGTTTCAGACATGGTTTTTATAATGCTGGGACAAGACTAAATTTTAAGATTAGCAAAGAAACACCCAGAGAAAGCCTTCATATAGCCTGAAATGTTAGATGTGTTGGAAAAGTGTGGTTCTTTTCCAATTCAGAGTGGGGGGACTGGTCTATAAAAATCAGTTCCCACCCCCATTTCCAGAGGATCAAAAGTAGCTGGAAAAACCAACGTTTAGGATGGGAGATAATATGGACTGTTTTAAATGAGAAAATGCAAAACCTGCCTGTCTAGAAACCATGAGCATCACAAAATGCTGGCTCTCCTCTTGCGGAGCTCTGTTGGGCCTTTACTACAGCCACCTTTAGTTGCTGTGGGTCTTTCTGCCTTCAGTTTTGTATGTAATAACTGTAAAACAATGCTCTGTCGTTTTGAGATTGGGGACTGAAATTTCCTCTACCATGTTTAACAGATCATACATGCTTCAGATCATCATCGGCCCCTTTTCTTCTCCAAGCTTTTCTCTTCCACTCATTTTGCAGCAAGTCAATTTTGTACCACTGAACATGTTTAGATATTTTTTCTTTATTTGTTATGTTTTTATTTTTTGGCAACATCTAAAAATGCTTGCACAGTGATACTGTTCTTGAGTGGTTTGTAGACTTAATTATAGATGTTGACACTAAGATGCCAGCCTCTTTGAGAGCGTTCCTGACTTAGCTAAATGTTCTGAAGTTATTTCCCTTAACGATGGAAATAATTCTGTCATCATCCACTTCAGGTTTCTGTGGTCTTGCTATACTGACAAGTTCATTCCTTCTTTTTAAGAAGGTTATATAGCACTTTTCTACTCTATCTGAGAACTCAAAGCACTTTACATAACTTGCCTCATTCACCCATCCATACAAGCACTTGTTGCTATGGTCTTTCTGTCAAAGTGTTTTCTATCTACCATTCACAACATGCTTGTCTTTGACATGTAGACTGGAGGGGACTGGACCACCAATCTTCTGATTAGCAGATGATCTGCTCTACCAGCTATTTACGCCTAAATTTCTATTCCTAAAATTTCCTGAAGTTTTTGTGACCTGCCCGATTGGTTTGTTTTGGTGTTTCAGCCTAGTGATGTTCACCTTCACAGACACCATATCTATACTTCCAGTGTACAGCCACCAGAGGCAAGTTCAACACTTTGAACCAATTTTAGATCTTTTATCTGTTTATTTTGCCATGGAACAACAAGTAAGGAGGCTTCACCTGAGGCTTGTCAGTCAGTTGTCCAATTACCTTTGAGCATCTGAAAATGGGAGATTATGTATAAAAATGCCTGTAATTCTTAAATAGTTAATGAAATGCATTTGTTAAACCCCTTGAATTAAAACTGAATTTGATTGTTTAAAATCCCCTGTGGTGGTGTACAGAGGCAAAATTGCAAAGAATAAGTCATTGTCCATATATACTGACCTCACAGTACCTTAACAGGGGATAACCAGTCTTTTGCTTTAATAACAGAGATGATACCTTTAACCTTTGGTCCACTGAGCTGCTATCATACAAAACTGTGATGTTAAAAATTCTTCCCAGCACAGTGTCAACAGCATGGAGGAGATTCCAGGAGACAGGAGCAGAACCAGTATCTGCACCTTTGTGCAAGGAGGAACATAATGAGCACTGCCAGAGCTACAAAATAACCTCCAACAGGACATTGGTGTGGCTGTCGCTGACCAAACAATCAGAAACAGACTTCATGAGGATGACTGAGGGCCCAACGTCTTCTAGTGGGCTCTGTGCTCACTACGTGGCACTATGGAGCCTGGCATTTGCCACCCTGTGTGTTTCGAAGATGGTTCACTCTGAGCACAGGGGACAAACATAAAAGAGTCTGGAGAAACCGTGGAGAACGACATGCTGCCTGTATATTGTTCAGCATGACTGGTTTGGTGGTGGGTCACTGATGGTCTGGGGAGGCATATCCACCGAGGGACACACAGACCTCTATAGGCCAGGCAACAGCACCATTAGGTGCCATTAGCTATCAGGATGAAATCCTTTAACCCACTGTCAGATCCTACTCTGGTGCTGTGGGGCCTGGTTCCTACTGGTGGTCTTATTAGGAGCATGCCCCAATGTTATAAGCAATGCATACAAGCACATGGTGGGGCCATACAAACTACTGGGTACCATTTTTTTAATGACATTTTAGTCAAAATGAACGAGCCTGGTGCTACATTTTTTCACTCTGACTTTCGAGGTGTCTTTGAACTCAGCCCTCTGTAGGCTGATAATTTTATATCCATCAAAAGATGTGCCATCCTTTCATTCTTAACAAATTACCTGATTATTTTTTCCCCTTTTTTCCTTAAGATCTGTGGTGCTTTTGAAGTGCTCCTTTTAAATTTTGGAGCAGTGTATAAATATCACAGGAGGTCTTTTCTGTGCTGTGTTATCAAGATTAAAAGATATCAACAGATACTATTCTCTATGCTTCTAGTTGTTCTCGCACAGTTTTTGTGATTTCTGGCTTTTGACCAGCACCCAAAGCGTGACAAACTGAGGGACTGGTCTGTCACGAGGAGACCTGAGTAATCTATGTTGTTTTATCACAGTTTGAGTCTTCAGTAAATATTTAAAGAGATCTGCAAAAGATAGGAAGAAAGGGTGGGGTCATGTTCACCCCATTATTGAGCACCATGAAAGAACTATACACAAAATCTTCAGGAATATAAAAAAGATCTGTATATTCATTCATGTATATGACCTACATAACATACACAACTGTTCATTACGTACGCTGGAGATCAAATTACAAAAACCAAAACAAAGGTTCGAGGATACAAGTGAAACTTTAGCCAAGAAATTCAATTCCATTTTATTTATATAGAGCCACATCAAAGCAGCAAAGCAGCAGTCGCCTCAAGGCACTTAAAGAAAAAGGCCATTCTGTTTAACAAACACGTCTTTCTGTATATGAGACACATTTTGGAGATAAGTTTTGAAAGAGAAAAAAAAGGGTTTGCATGTTATAAATCCCAAAAGGTTTGTTTTCGCTGCAGACCGGTGATTCTTCCAGAACGTCAAAAATTGAAATATATACTCCAGTGATGACGCACATCTGCTACAGCCTTTTTCCAGCTTATCTGCACGCACACTCACATTCACAGTCCAGGATTACGCAGGAATTTCTGCTCTGTCACTTTTCCACCATAAATAAAGGAGATGGCCTCCTTGGAACAACTAATGTCTTTATTCATGTTGGACTTTTGACTCCTGCACAGCATTTACAGAACAAGAATAAAAGCTTAGTTCATAAACAACAGTGATTCATGTGATACGCATCCTAGTTTGTGTTTAGCCTCCACAGGAGAGTCCACTGTAGCAAGCCGACCACCGCTCCTGCTCCAAACCTTCAGGCCTGAAACTGGTAAAGCTAATGCAACTTGTAGCTCCAGGTTTAGCTAATTAGAGCAGTAAGGGCTTCCTGCAGAACTACTGTTGGCCTCTGACCTCCTCACATTCCTAAAGTACGTCGTCCCAGGCCTCATGATTCGGATTCCCGGGAGAAGTCGGAATGAGTTAGGAGACACGCGACTGATCAAACCACAGGCCTGATGGCAAGACAGTGTGAAGCCTGCCAGTGTTTACTGTCTGAGAATGGAATGATGGGTAATGGCTGACGGGTTACTACTGGCAGGAAGTCAGGGCACATTCCCCCAGCGACTGACCAATCAGACGAGAGGTGTCAAGCAGAGTCAATACATGGTCAAAGGTCAGAAAAGCAGGTTTGGCATGGCCAGCTGTCTGTTTGAATCTGCCGTGAGGGAACACAGAGGGGTCGTTGAAAGGACTTACCTGGGCACAAGCCCAATGCCCGAGGGCTTCACCTGCAAAATGTCACTGACACAGACAAAAACAAAACCCAAAGCAAAGAATTTTAAAAACGAGTTTTTTAAAAAACCAAAAGATGAGATGAAGATGAACTCAGGCATGTTTAGTGAGTCTGAGATGGTTTTCTCCTGACCCTCTCAGAATCAGCTGACTTTGTTGTCCTGTAACTTTAGTATATCGAATGAAGCCATGCCACATTTTACCCTTATGTGAAGTTACAGGTCCTTCAAGTACAAATCTGTTGCTTTTTAATTCACATTGTTTTCTTCTCTATCAGTACAGGAAGTATCTACATGAAAAGTGAAAAACACAAATGAGCCCTGCTATTTGGTTTTATTTGTTTTCTGTTAATTCAGTGGAGAAAACATACATGACAAAGAGCATCGTGGATAAACTTTAAAGTGTGATATCACCAGGAGGGTAAAGTTAAATCATACCTATGATGATATTATTTCTGACTATTCTATCATGTAATAACACTCATAAGACATAACATTTGAATTTCTGTTTAATCAAGTGTAAAAAGCATGGTGGATGAGTGACGACTGCCTATATACTGTTGTTACTCATATACTATATATACTGCCTATATGACACGTAACAAAGATTGGTTTGATCTTCAAACGTTTCTTCTGTATCTCGGACCACCAAATTTCAAGACAAAGTGAAAGCCTCTGTAAAAACATTGTTTATTAATACTGACCTTTTTGTGATGTCGGTGAGAAATAGCTGTCTAAAGTTCCCACTGCCTGAAAATCCTTCAAGTTGGCTGTAGAGCTGTGAGATTTGCTACACATTAGCATGTTAGCATTTTGTTAGCATTTACTTGTGAGAGTTGACAGACTCATGTTAGCATTTAGCTCAAAGCACCT